CACCTCCACTCACCCCTTTCCCTGCCACAACCACACACTGTTGTCCATGTCCATGAGTCCTTTTTCTTTTTTGCTCAATCCCTCCCTGCCCTAAGCTCCCCTAGCTCATAGCTGTCATCCTGCTCTCCATCTATGAGTATGTTGCTGTTTTCCTTGTTAGTTCAGTTTGTTCATTAGATTCCACGTATGAGTGAGATCATATGGTATTTATCTTCCTCTGACTGGCTTATTTCACTTAGCATAATATTATTTTCTCTAAGCAAAATTTGTCTCACTCTTTCTCAGTCAGTGTGAATACCGTGTACAGAAAAGCCCTTGGACAGTACCAGTGCTTAGGCTTGGAGTTAGTGAAAAGGCATGAGAAACTGACAACCCGGATTCTGTTTTTAACTCAGCCAGATACCTCAGCTGGCAAGTGGCTCAGCTTCCGCACCATAAAATGGGTATAATAATAGCTTTCCCTTACCACTGTGAAATATTTAGAATGCAAATCAAGCCAAACCTGTCTCCTTCCAAAGGAGAAGCTTAAACTAGCCTGCGAAGTCCTGAATGAGCCCAGATTTCAAGAGGAAACATAAAGTGGGAACCACCTAGAGGTAGTGTAATTTAGTGGTTAAAAATATGTAGACTTTGGAATGGTACAGCCTTTTTCAGATCCCAGCAGCTGTGTGATTTGGGGTAAGTTTCCCAATTTCTCAAATCTCCCTTTTTTCTCTAGTAAATTTTAAGTATCAGTATTTACTCATGTAGTCAGGATTAATCGATAGACTTTTAATGCTGCTTTTCAAATTCTCCTGTGTAGGTAGGCGATCTTCACGTTAGAGTGAGCGATCTGGTCCTGAAGGTGCTGGGGACGCTGACTGGAGCAGTCTGCCACACATGAGACTTGTCAGTGAGCTCTCAGGTTTCACCCTAAAAATATATACAGATTTTGCATTCTACTCCTCAATATAGTCTTGTTTGTTTCACTAAACTGGAAGTTCCACGAGGCCAAGAACAGTATCTGTTTTGCTTCTTCTGTAACATTCAAGAAATAGATATTGGATAAATGAATACATGTCAAATAAAAGTTTAAATTACTTAGCCACAAGGACAACTGCCCCACCAAATAGACAACCATGTCTTTATTATTTGTTTTGTGGCTTTGTGTACTCATTATACTGCTCCACCTCACTGGGTATACCCATAATCAAATTTGAGAAGCATTTATTTAGCAGGATGCCGGAAGCCACAGAAGGTACTCAGTTAATAGTAACTCATTTCTCTGCTATCTCCTTAGCTACCTCATTGCTCCTAAGGCTCTGTTGACTTTTTTTACTATTTTTAAAGAAATTATAAAGGACCAGTAAAGCCAGAGACAAAGGGCTTTAAAGGAGTCTCTGTGTCTCTAGCCACGCACAGCCACCCAGGCATTTTTCTATGCGTTGTGTTTACTCCTGGCTTCAGTTTATCCCAACGTGTTGAAACTTCCTAGAGACAATGAGCAGCAGGATTGAAAGAGCTCTTTATCCTCCTCTCCTTAGGCCAAGAGTTACTAACCTGGAATTCGTCGGTGACTTCCATGGTGTCTAGGAGCTCCTTGAAACTGGTGTTTTGGGGGAATTGCTGGGGGGAAGGATTCTTATAGGGATCTGTATTACTGTTGCCCTAAAACATTACATAAGTCAAAATCAGAATTGACTGCTATTTAAATTACAATTAATAATACCTTTAGTTCCTTGGAGATTGATAGTATATAATAAATTTCTACTCAGAAATCACAAAATTAAGATTAGACCTCCACAAATCGCCCCTTCTCCCTCTCTCTACTCTTGTCTCCTTCACCATGTTTTAAGGTCCTGATCATTTGGGCTTTGTAGTTAAATATTCCTTGCTAGATATTTGTATTTTGAACCTAGCATGCTTAATGCAAATGTTTTAAATCTTATGCAAAACTATTATAGATAATTCTTGAAATGTCTAATGAAAACAAGTTACATATATATACGGTGAATATCACTTAGGCAGAAAGAATGCATATCAATGAAATAACAATTCGAACTAACAAAAAATAAACCTGTACAGATTAGTACACATTCTCAAAATTGCCTTGATTGTAATTCAGTCAAATAGTCGGGGCCTTTTGATGTTTATGAACATTTAAGAATTGTATAAGAACTCTGAGATTAAATTTTTAGTCTTAATATTAAATTTGGGGTAGGTATAATTTTTCATTAATATATAAAGACAACAATTATATCCAATAAAATCTTCAATTTAACTTGGCTTTAACTTGTCCTAGATCGTGACATATACACTGTGATTTTTCTCTAGATCTTGGATTCTTGTTATTGACAGCCTGTGTATAATTGACATCCAGAAAGATAGTTATTTTTATTCCAGACCTTGGATGTATTGGTTAATCTGGGTACAGTTTGCACTGATGTCTTCTGATCACATCAAAAATTTAATTTTGATTGATTAACTTTTATGGAAAAAAAATGTTCCTTGAAATTTAGAAAGGCATGTTATATGCTTAGATATAACAACATAGATACAAAGTATAATTTTAAAAATAGCATAATATATTATTGAGAGTTATTGAGTTTATAACATGCAACACAAAAATGATAAGTGAGTATATTTCATAGATAACCACTAATCATGTTTTTCTCCTTCCCCTCAAAGGTTGGGAAAGAAAGAAAGCTCAAAAGAAGTTGGGGGAGAAGGAGGGAGGGAAGAAGGAAGAAAGTAGAAGGGAAGGAAGGAGGGAAAGGGAGAAAAGTTTTTTTTTTTAATTTATTGATTGATGTTTAGAGGGGAAAGGAGAGAGAGAAAGAAACATTAACTTGTTGTTCCCTTTATTTACGCATGCATTGGTTGATTCTTGTATGTACCCTCACCAGGGGTGAAACGTGTCAGGACAATGATCTAACCAACTTAGCTACCCAGCCATGTTCAGGAAAAATATTTTGAAAGATGCACCTGTACAATTGTCTAGGATCCTGGTTTGCCAAAGAGACCACAATGTAGCAAACTTAGAGCTGTAAAGTCCTTGAAAATTAGTCATATATTGTATATTGAGGTTTGTATGTACTTTCAATGAATCATAAATAATCTAACTGTCTTACTTAAAGTTTTCATTAAGTTCATTACTTTTATGCCCTGGCTAGTGTGGCTCAGTGGATTGAGTGCCGGCATGCGAATCAAAGGGTTGCTGGTTTGATTCCCAGTCAGGGCACATGCCTGGGTTGTAGGCCAGGTCCCCAGTAGGGGGCGTCCAAGAGACAACCACACATTGCTGCTTCTCTCCCTCTCTCTTCCCTCCTCTCTAAAAATAAATAAATAAAATCTTTTTTAAAAAGTTCATTAATTTTGTGAAAGAATTGAAAAACATTGGAGACCTCCAGCCTCTCTTGTGTTAGCATGCATGATCATCAGATTTTCATCTCAACTCTTGTCCATAGAGAGCAACTCCAGCCCTTACACGTGCGTGTGCATGGACAGGGTTTCACCTTGGAATTAAAGGAGTGGATCATTCTTTGGAGGAACATCTATGATCATGCACTTGTCCAGAAAATTTGCTGAGAAGTGAAGTCTTTAATTGCCAGTTTCTGCTTTAGCTTTATTCTATGCTGAGTTATTTAATCAGATCCTTTTGATCTCTTTTAATATGGTTTATTTTGCGTATTTCTGGAGGCCTTATGTGAAGTGGTTATAATCATGGTGACAGAGAGACAAGAATTCAATCAGTGTTAAGTCCTTGATATATTTGAATGGGAGGGGAGTGGGGATACCTGCTTTGTTTTCTCAGCATCCTTGGTTGGTTTATTAATTTCTCGTGGATCTTATGTTTCTTCAATTTTACTCGTCTGTAAGAGAAGCTATCAGAACAATGGTGAGCAGACCAGTCCCATAATAGTTTATTTGGCTTGTGAGTTGACGATTACAAAGGAGAATTACTAGATTTGAAATAAAGAATGAGAAAGTGTTAAGTTCAGCTCCCCCAAACCTGAAGTAGTCATGATTAGAGGTGTGTATTGAGGGACAAATGCTTTAACCTAATATCATTTTGTCAGAAGGGACACTGCTAAGCTGGTAAGATGGGGAGGAAGAGGCAGTATCAAGTCCTCAGCCAGCACCAACCCTCGTCCTCAGCTGAGGGTTGACAATACATAGAGGTGGTGAATTTGTCCAGAGGATCTTCTGGGCACTAAAAATAACTAAGTTTATCCTTAAAAGAATGAGTTTATCAGAGGCTGACTCATCCTTGTCAAAATGAGCTAAAATTTCTCATGTACTACACAGTAAAGCTTTTACCTAATCTTTTTTCTTTTTTTTAAAGATTTTATTTATTTATTTTTAGAGAGAGGGGAAGGGAGGGAGAAAGAGAGGGAGAGAAGCATCAATGTGAGAGAAAAACAGCAATCAGTTGCCTCTTGTATGAACAAACCTGCAACCCAGGCATGTGCCCTGACCAGGAATTGAACCTGATATCTTTCGCTTTGCAGGATATCGCCCAACCAACTGAGCCACACCAGTCAGGGTGCTTTTACCTATTCCAGCCAGTGCTGCCCAGTAGACATTTATGTACACAACAATAGAAATGCTGAGTACTTGAAATGTCACTAATGTGACAGAGGGACCTAAACATTTCATTTTTCATTAAATTTTAATTAATTTAAATTTAAATAGGTAAATATGGCTATTGGCTGCTGTAGTGTCCAGCATAGCTCTACAAAATACTTGTATGATTTAGATCATAAAGAAGTTTACAAAGAAAGAGGTTGGTACTTCTTGCATTGAGAAGTATTGTGCTGGTCACACAGCAGGAGATCACACCTTTGGAAAATGTTATGTGGTTGGATCTCTTTCTTTGGGCTTCAGATAATAAAATGGGTTTTTACAGCTCATCTTTTAGGAGCAACTAGTCCCATCTATACAATACTTAGATTTGCTTTCTTTCTCCCCATAGTACCATTGGGTTCATTTTTAATTCCTGTTTTTTCTTTGATTTTCAGTTCCTTGACCATCAGTCTGTGGCCTACCCCTTCTCTTTATGTAAGTAAAATTGGTTTCTTTACTTTTCAAAGAAGTGTCAGATGTGGGAAATTTGGGTCTTTATTGGCAAGTTGTCTAGTTGACTTTGTTATGGTTTCCAGCACTTCTTCAGTATGTATTAGCTTCTTTTGTGTTTGGAGTCAGTGCTATTGGTGGTAGTAGCGGTAGTTGCCATCCATGAGGGGGCTGGAAGGACCAGCGGCCTCAGCAACTGGACTTAAATAAAGACTGCCTTTTACTCAGTCACAGCTGCCGTTTGCAAAAGTCACTGCTCTCCTAAACTATAGCTCACATTCTTCAGCCAGATACCCACAACAGTTGGGCTTTTGCTCCATCATCAATAAATGGGCAATTATTTATTCTTCAGTGATACACCCATCCCTAGGTTCAATGTTTTTTAGTTTCAACTTTGTCATTTACTGACACAATTTCTAATATCCTTTTACTCAGAAGTATAAAACTTCAGCCATTTAGGTTAAAATTATGTGTGAAACTGTAAAGTCCAGGAGGGAAACAAAAGGAAAGAGAAATTCAGGGCTATGTTCACCAGTAGGTTTATAAAAGGTACCATTCTTTTTTCAGAAAAGATGCAAGTCATTTGGAGAGGAGAAAAATATTGATTTCAGATGAAAAGAGAGAATACTTATTATTTAAAGCCCAAACTAGGCTTCACTCAATGGATTTGGATAAAATTTTACCTTGAGCTGCTTGAAAGACATTCTGGAGCAGTGAACCTAAATAATCAAAGTCGTTGTATGAGACACCACCCAAGAAATGCTACAGGTAGTGGCAGTCACCTTATGTGATAAATAATCATTTATATACTTAAATAAACGATTTCTTCCAGCTCCTCTCTCACTCTCTGGTGAGCACAACTGGTTCCCATTCACAGCATTCTGTCTTACTTCACTGACTCTTCACTCTGAGGATTTCTTGTGTTGTAATCATTTACACAGAAAGGGGGTTCCCATGGCTCTTTTGCTTATGTGTGGCTTCCACTAATATTCTTAGAGCTAGTTAAATATATTTAGGGGAACAGAATCCTCCAAAGGATGCCCAGGCGAAAGTCTGAAGTGACAGTTATTTGACAGAAAAAGGAGATTGATTAAACTCCCCAAAGACTGGTGCTGTGCATAATGCACTTATACAGCAGGGGTGGATCCTCTCTGCCCCTGACAAGTCTTGTTATTCCTTATTCTCAGTGTTGATAGAGTGGGTCTGTCAATGCTTCAGAGGGTGTCCATGTGCATGCTTATAGTTGCCACTTTATGTCTCTGTGTCCCTACCTCAGTTACCTAGGACTGCATAGTTCTAGTCCTCTGACTGGCAAATCATTTTTGTTACAGTTCTTTGTGTAAAAACAGTACACATAATAGCTCTGTGTTAGACAAGGCATTAATCCTCACATCACCGGGGATGAGTCAGCACAGTGCACTCCTGCCCGCACAGCTTAGCTATTATGACGTCAGCACTGTAGGGCAAGCCTCAGACACAAGCAGTACAGGGGACTGGAGACCTGTGTCACAATTAGAGATCAAGATGGAGACCTTTGAGATAAAAAATGTAATTGAAAGGCCGTTTCTGGCTCATAGGAAATTGTGAAACTGATTTTTTGCTACATCAACCATCAATCGAGCAGCTTGTAGAGAGATCCTAGTTTTTAAGCAGAGAGAAGGCTGGGAGAATGACCTGTGATGGGCTGATAGTCCATTAATGTACACACTAACCTCGTCCCAACCCTGAGCTGAGCTTCATTCACTGGGATTGTTCTAAATCCTGAGGCTTGCCTTTGTATCAAGGGTGGCAGGGCCTATGACCGTCCTACTGTCCTCAAGTGCCCCACAGGCACAGCTGATGGCTCCAGAGGTAATGCGCATCAAAAGGAAAGGAAAGTTCCTTGGGAACAGATCAGGACATTATCTCCCCAGTGCTTCTAGCTTCAGAGTCTCTTCAATGGCCTCCTCTAGACACATGCACAATTCTGCCTGTTTGAACGTCTCTCCTTGGCACTGCATGTACTCCAAAGTCCCAATCTGTATTTGTCACAGACTTCAGTAGGAACTGAATAGTTTCCAGATGTTTCCCCCAAGAGTTTTCCATTTCATTATTCTTTAGCAAAAATGGAGAGGATCCCTTCATGACCTGCCATGCCACCTTGAAGCAGGTTATCACAGACTTGCCCTGTTGGGAAGAATGGTTCTTATTAGTTAGACCTCTCTACAGTTCAGACCCTGTTCCATTCTCAGGACAGTACCTTTCAATATTGAAAACTAACTATTAAAAAAGCTGAACATTCACTGCCTCACTGACATTCTCTCTTAACAAGACATTCCCCCATCATACCATCTACCCCTGAGTATTACTCTCATCCTGTGAGTCATCAGGAAGTACCTTAGTTCTGGGATCTTCTGCCCTCATTAGATGTCTAAGAGTCTCCTACCATGCATATGTAAGCTAATACTACTGCTTGGTTTAGTTTTGATTAATTATCATGCTCTTTATTCAGTTTTATTCTGTTTTCAGTCAACAAACACTTATGGAAAACTAGTCACTCTGCTTGGTCCCTGGAACTCCAAGATAAATAAGAAGTGCTACCTGTTGTTAAAAATCTGACAGTCTGGTAGGGGAGCTAAATAGAAAACAAAGGCTATACCATGTGTTAGGAGCTGGAATGGAGGTATATACTAGATGTAGTAAGGGTTATGAGAAAGGGGTGCCTACCCACATGTGAAGAGGTACCCAAGCTAGGCCTTGAAGTCTAAAGAATGAATTGCAGTTTACTTGGTGGGTGTGGATGAGAGGGAAGCAAAAGGGGATCAGAATTAGGAAAAGCAAAGTCAAAGCATTTGCGGTCAGGAGGAATCAAGCAGCAGCCAGATCCAGAGGACAGTGGCCAGTGTGGCTGGCGCATGGTGGTGGGAAGGGGAGCTTGGAGATGAAGCTGGGAAGTGATACAGGGCAGATCACAGAGGGCCTAGAAGGCTGTGCACAGGAAGGAGTTTGGACTTGATGCTGCAGGATTGAGGAGACTGAAGATGTTTAGCCAGATTTGTGCTTTAGAAAAAGAGCTTTCTGGTGATGGTAGAGATGGCTGACTGAAAAGGGGGAGATTGGGTCAAAGGTGAAGACTAAAGGCCTGAACTGTGCGGTGGTGGTGGGATTGGAGAGGAGAGGCTATTTGGTAGTGTTGGTATAGTCACTGACATTGCATAATGCCAGCATGTCTAGGCCCAATGGAAAGCCCTTGCCTTCCAGGGAGAAGGCTGATGTGTTGTGTGGGGCCAAATGTCAGATCAAAGTATATCTTTATGGGAGCTTCACCAGAGCCCTCGATTTGAATCTGACCACACTCTGGGTTGCTGCTTGCTGGTCTCCTGAAATGTGTGTCTCCTCCCACCGTGGACTTTGGGGTGGAGCAGGCAGATAAGGAGAACATTGCCTGTTTTGCTTGTCTCATCTTTCATCTGTAAATGAAACGATTTTTTTTAAGGATATCCCTCTGAAGCCAATCAATGCCCTGATTTTCTATCATTTTCCCACTGCTGCTTTTTTCTAAGCGGAAGTTTCAAGCCATTGAGCTGAATTCCAACTTATGCACAGCCGGGTGTTGAAATAATTCAGTATATTCATTCCTGCTTTCTGAATTAGAGTTCACCATAAGTGTGCTTTTCTCTTGTTCACTTTGGGCTGCCAGGACAATTTAAAGGAAATTTTCAACAGCTTATGTTTCATGTACCATGTTCTCTTTTGCAAATGGGAGTAGATGCGTGGGTGTGTTTGTCTTCTCTATATTGCTTTCTGGAGAAAGGTTTGAGGAGATGAACAAGACAAGGAACAGGGACCTATGCAAAGCCCAGGTCCCTTCAGTGACCTGAGTGCAGAATGTAGGCTGGTGATCAGATGGTCAATTATGTGTTTGTCAAAACACAGTGGGCTGTATTCCAGACTGCCAGCTTTGGAGGCCCAGCTTCTGCCAACCAAATGTCATCTGGGAACATGCAACACTGGGCACTGTGAAGGAGTTTGAAATAGACCATGCCACAGCCAACCTACTGCCAGTCTTATAGCACCAATATGGCATGCACAGCCGGGCCCCATGTCTCAGAGCTCAGGAATTCACTGTACTAAATTCAAGAGGTCAGATGGGTTCATGTTTTCAAAGCCTATGTTCTCTGCTTTGAACATTGTGACTTGCTCCTCAGCAATTTCCATGGGATTTTTCCAGTCACATCTCTGTGGAAACCACTCTTTATTGATGGTTATGAGAGCCTTGTAAATGTCCCAGAGGAGAGAAAAAAAAAATATGCTCTGACAATGACTGTGATTCCAACAGAGGGATTCCAGCTCTTAGGAAATTACATTAAAGGTGGGTAGCTTTTAAAATATCAGGAACCACCTTGGCAACTTATAAAAAGCAGAAGGGCTTTGCCTATTTTATAAAGTAATTTGCATATACCTGCATAAATAATGTCCCCACCTGTACATTTAAGCGTTTAGGTTGAATAAATTAAATTCAGTGATCTTTAAAATATTCAGTCTTTCATGGCTCAGATACCATTTCCAGGACCCTTCCTTCTTTTTTTCTTGTGGCAGTAGTGGCAATTTTTTCAATATTTCAACCAATTCAGAGAATCCAAACACTCTGCAGACGAGTCTACCACCGCCAGAAGCATTGTCTTCTCTTGCTTACATTTCTCTCGGCCATTATACCTAAGACCATGAGTTTCATATACTTTTCATAAAGGAAAATGGGAAGTAGGTTACTGAGACGAAAATACAGCATAAGACAGAAATAAGCACCACTTCCTGTATGTATATCCAGACGTGCACTGACACACATCTCATGGACACACTCATATTAACCTTTCCTGTGCTTGGCCACTGCCATCACCCCTTGAGGAACCATCCAGCCACTAAGCTGTATCAATTATAACTTGGGCCTTGAAATCAAAGTCTCGTCAGTAGGCCAGCCTCAAGCACAATCACCATAATATATTATT